TGTTGCTTCCCTTTTACCCTAAACGAGCTGGGGACGTAACCCAGCGCCATTTGCAGACTGTTTGAGTACTGACCGAGCTGTTGACCGCTGCCATGTAACTGGCATCCGGGTCGATGTGAACGGAGTTAATGGAGACCTCTGGCTCAGGAATCAGCTGCTCGTTGTGGTCCGTCTTCAGATCCCAGATATGAATCACTCCACTCTGATCGCCAACAATCAGCTCTGCCTGAAAAATGTAACAACTCATGGTTTAATGCAAGTCTTTTCAGCATAAACTTTTAACTGTCTTACAATAATATATAAACAAATGACTGTAATTTAAGTCTCACCTGGTTGGGATGCAGGCACACACAGTTGATTGGGGCGTTGACCTGGAATATCCTCTGACACTGCAGATTTCTTGACCTGGAGGGAGCATAAGGGATTAAAGTAAGGTTTTTTTTAACACAGAGTGAATTTCCTTGTGCACAATGAGCTTCCTCTATAGTACCTAAGGTCCCATATGCGAGCCATGCAGTCCTCTCCTCCCGTGTACATCCAGCGTCCGTCCTCATGGAAACCCACAGACGTGATGTTCTTGCTTACGCCGTCGTAGTTTATCACAGGGTTAGGGTTGTTGGAGTTCAGGTCGTACATGCGGATGTGCTGATAACCTATTAACACAGAGTGGAATTTACTTATTAAAGGTCCCATGTCATGGCCATTTCCACTGATCATAATTCCAGTGTTGAGGTCTACTAGAATAGATTTATATTGTGCAATTTTCCAAACTCACATTGGTTTCTCACAGCATCTCTGTAAACTACGTGTATTCACTGAATTTCACTCTCTGCCTTTAACGGCTCGTTGTAGCTCCAATAGCTCCAGCCCCCACCCTCCCTGTGAGCACAGTGTGCTCTGATTGGTCAGGACGTTGTGAATCGCGCTAAGCTCCGTGGAGGTGTGGTTTCCTTGTTTAGCGATACACATCGAAACACAGCCAAACTCACCCTGAGCACACACAAAGTCACAGCCGAAGTAAAAACAATAAGTGTGGCTTGATATTGAGTAAGAAAAAGGTTGATAAACACTGTGAGAATGGGTCTGCAGAGAGAATGGGTCTGCAGAGAGAATGGGTCTGCAGAGAGAATGGGTCTGCAGAGAGAATGGGTCTGCAGAGAGAATGGGTCTGCAGAGAGAATGGGTCTGCAGAGAGAATGGGTCTGCAGAGAGAATGGGTCTGCAGAGAGAACGGGTCTGCAGAGAGAATGGGTCTGTAGAGAGAATGGATCTGTAGAGAGAATGGGTCTGCAGAGAGAATGGGTCTGCGGAGAGAATGGGTCTGCAGAGAGAACGGGTCTGCAGAGAGAACGGGTCTGCAGAGAGAATGGGTCTGCGGAGAGAATGGGTCTGCGGAGAGAATGGGTCTGCGGAGAGAATGGGTCTGTAGAGAGAATGGGTCTGTAGAGAGAATGGGTCTGCGGAGAGAACGGGTCTGCGGAGAGAACGGGTCTGTAGAGAGAATGGGTCTGCGGAGAGAATGGGTCTGTAGAGAGAATGGGTCTGTAGAGAGAATGGGTCTGTAGAGAGAATGGGTCTGCGGAGAGAATGGGTCTGTAGAGAGAATGGGTCTGCAGAGAGAATGGGTCTGTAGAGAGAATGGGTCTGTAGAGAGAATGGGTCTGTAGAGAGAATGGGTCTGCAGAGAGAATGGGTCTGTAGAGAGAATGGGTCTGCAGAGAGAATGGGTCTGTAGAGAGAATGGGTCTGCAGAGAGAATGGGTCTGTAGAGAGAATGGGTCTGCGGAGAGAATTTCGCCGCGATCCCAACTGTCTGTTATCAGCCTGCAGCAGGGAGGAGAAATCAGCAGAGCTGCTTGCACTGAGTGTGTGTGTGTGAGATCCGTGGATTGGTCAATTTGGACCAATCAGCGGGGGCTTAACGTAACGGCTCCACGGATTGGTCCATTTCATTCCGGGTACGGTTGACATCATGCGTACTCGGAAGAATCAAATGGACAGTGACGTATCTCCAACGAGGCGTTTTGGGGAGGTATTAGGTGTTAGAGTTTTACTCGCTACAGGGTGTACTTTGAGGGTTTTGACTCTGCACACCGTTTACATGCAGAACAACCTTCATAACACACAAGGGGACGAGTACTAACCAGAAAAGCATGACATGGGACCTTTAAAGGAGATATTCACTTAAATATATGATGCAGAAGAAAGTTTGGGAATAATGTTGACCAACCTGCTGCTGCAATCATACTCCTGTCAGGCGTCACCTCAAGAGAATTTACTTGCTGGGAGCAATCGTTAAGAAAAGTTTTTTTATTTCTGTAATATTTTTACAGCTCTTGATTTGGTTAGCCAACTTGAGCAAGTCTGTCTTTATAATAATAATAATATATTAATTTTATATAGCGCTTTTCTGGACCCAAAGACGCTTTATGTAATAGAATCAGAGAGTTACTATAGTGAGTACAGTCACATTCTGGAAATGCAAAAGACAATAGACGAATGCTTTATTGACAGCATCGATTTGTCAATATAGATTTTATTACAGTAATGTATTAAGTATACTCTATATATACAAATTATGATGTTACATTCCTCCATTATCCACTATATAATTATTGGGTGTTTAGTACAAAAGCACTTTGAATTGCCTTGTGTTGAAAGGTGCTATATAAATAAACTTGCCTTGCCTTACAACCCAATCCAGTGATAAATGCAAGAATACACAAACATTACAATTACAAATATTTGGAGTAAATCTATACGATTCGAGATAATAAAACTTGTTCTGGAATGACCCACATGTGTTTGTGTAATATGCATTCTGTACACAATCACCCTCATGTCACAGTAAAAGCACACTGTTGCTCTCAGTCACGGTAAGGATACAGAGTCCTGGTGCTGGACCGTCCTGGTGCAGATGCCGCTGTGCGCCTGCCAGAAGCGGACGGTGTGGTCGTATCCAGCCGTGGCCAGAATGACCGGGTCGCTGCCCACCGTGCCCGCGTTCACATTCATCTCTGTTGCTGCTGGCTGTCACTGCTCACAGAGGGAGGTACGATTCAAGGGTTCAAAGGTTATATTGTCATATGCACAGCAGCTACAGTGTAGTTGTTGGGAAAATACTGAATGTCCTCTTCCAATCTGAGAGTGACATGATAATAAAGGTATCCCAACTGTAGCTGTGAACATGACAGGATGTGTGATTACCTAGAAGAGCATCAGGACTGTTTGAGGCAGATGATAGCTATGTGATTAACATGCTGATTCAGCCTCTATGGAGAGAGACATCAAGCATGCTCATTTCTGACGTGGAGCTAATCTGAAGTAAACATTGAATACTGCTTTCTACTCCTCCATCTTGTGACGGTGTAACTCCCTCTCTTGGATATCAGCATGTGAAGGACACTGCTCAGGAACTAGTTGATGCTCTGTATGTGATGACTACTTCCATTCTGGAGAGGATCACAGATACATGGATCCTGAGATTGAAGCTCAAGCCGGGGACCAGGGAGAGTTTTCTAACAGTAGTTATGGCAATGAAAGTCCCAGGCTCCTCCAACAATGAATTATACATATATATAAAAGACATACAATTGTGCAAAAAGAAACCAAATGGAAATAAAATAGTGCAAGAGAATGTTGCAGAAGAAGTAAACTACAAACATGTATTAATAGAATAAGATGAGCTCCAAACAGAATGTAAAATGTAATACTGTACAGGAATAAAACTGTTTACATGGTAAATGGTAGTTTGGCAATTAACACCTTCAGACCCAGACTCCTCCAATTGTGCAACGTGCAATATACTTAAGACATAAAAACAAGTAATACAATACTTTACTGTCATATAAATTAATATGTGAAATGCAAACAGAGGCATAAATAAAACTGTGGAAATATAAGACACAGTCAGCTGCTGCAGCTTTCTGTCAATTTAATGTCAACTTTAAACAAAAAGTTAGTTTAATTAATTACAATACTGTGGGAATAATACATTTAACTTGTGACATGCATGCTAACGTTAGCATCGCTAGTTGTTAAGGGTCATCGCAATGAAGGCAGTTAGGTGACAGCTATATTTCAACAGCTAAAACATTGTGACTTATTTCACTGTGTGATATCATTTGTGATAATTTATACTACCATACAGAATAAAATGTACAATTTTGTATTACCTTCAGTTGTTGTTGGTGTTGACGTGAAAAATAGGAACGTCCCCGGCCCTTAATCTGTCCGGTAGGAACACACACTGATGATTCAAACGTTCCGCTTTGATAACCGTCGCTTTGCCGCCATCTTGTGACGTGTTGTATCATAGCAGGATAAATGGACCACAGTCGAGTAATGAATACCTGTGGCTTTTAAATGATCAATTATTTAACACTCATCCAACCACTTAGAATAGTGTGTGAAGGCCTTTGTAAATTACATATTAAGATTGTCCTTTTGGTGAAATCAATTCCAGTACCAATACTAAAATATCCAGTTGATTAAATGTACTTAACACAAATAACACAGCATGTAAAAGTGTGTACTATAATCAGGATTTTAATAGGAATTCAGATAGATAGATGGTTGAAGTAATACTTAGTTACATACATACATATTTTTATATATATTTGTTTTTGTATTCGGGATTGTGATGTATTTCGATCTGTCTGTACACACAAACTGAAAGATTGACAATAAAATTAACTTTGACTAGTTCACAACAAACATGGGTAAGTGATTACAATTATATTATTGTGTTATTTATGAGTGCGGCTGCTGATCAAACCATCTTTACATGGAACAATAAAGGCTGATTGATACATGAGATATTGACATGTAACTTTATTTTAATGTATAACATATAAGTTAGTTCATTCAACAGTTTCAAGCAGTCATGCAAACAGTATATTATTTAATAAATATTTAAATAAATAAGTTAAATAAATAAATATATTATGCAAAGAATGTTATGTTCTCAAAACACAAATTCCACATGTATATAAATGACCATCTATTACATTTCAATCAAAACAGTACTGTAACTATGTGTTCTGGTCATGGCTGCTGCAGCAGGGCGGACATGTGCTGCTTCACCTCTCCTGGGTCGGCCACAGAACAGTCCAGAACCACCGCCCTCATCCCACTCTTCATTTTAATGGAGGGGAGGATCTGAAACGTTTCATTACAATATTTAAATATATAATAAAGCTTTATTTATAGAGCACTTTTCATACAACACATGCAGCTCAAGGTGCTTTACAAAATGACACACCACAAGTTAAAAGTAAACAACAACAAATTCCCCTCAGATTATTTGTTAAGAACTTTAAAAGGTACAAAATATATATATGATGTAATCAGGTTAATAGACACAAGGAGGTCAAATGTATGATAATTAAAATAAAATTAATAATGGTTTCTCTGACAGATAAGACACAAGAGTCGCTGCAACTATATAAAATATAAAACCCCATAAAACAAAGTGAGCATATAGGAAATACAAATAAAAAGATTAAGACCTATAAATAAATAAAACAATATAAAGGTAGGTGAATAATAAAGACTAAAAGAACATTTAACATTATTTAACAGTAACACACATTATTTAATCAAAGAGCTACAGTACCTTCACGTATATCTTGCATCTCTCCAAAAGTAATTTCCACTTCATTGTCGTCCGCTCGTCATCAGTCAGATTGGTAAACTCCTCCGTCTGATGGAAGAAATTAAAAAGTGGTTTATCCCACTTGAAGCATAGCTGCTTAAGATACCAGTTCATAAGAGAAAAGTATAACATATGACATGGATTTATTATATTTACACAGCAGCAAATTCTACTTTCCAGCGTACATGTAGATGTAAACACAAACGTAACACAGGACTCAAAGGCTTTATTGTCATACTCACAGTAGCTAAAGGTTAGTTTGGCAATTCAAATCTTAAGGCCCAAGCTCCTCCAACATTGTACTGTAACATAAAATATACTTAAAATATACATAATATATATTGTAGTTGTATTCAACCAGGGTAGAGTTCTTTGTGTTATACTCGACAATGACATGCACCAGTATTTACCCCATTGCTCTCATGTTCTTTAACTCCACCTCCACACAGTTGATACCACATATACCACAGTACATTTATATATTCAGTTTCATATTTAATATTCCATCCCTTATGTATATATAATAACTTGCTTTATATTTAGTTTTTGTTATTGTTAATTTGTAAATTCAACATGTATATTTTCTACTTTCTTGTCTTTTTTATTTGTATTGTATAATGTCTTTTATGCTGCTGCAACACGAAAATGTCGCAGATTGGGATCAATAAAGTACTATCTTATCTTATCTTATCTAGAGTTGAGGATAATTGATGATCCTGTGAAGAGTTACTGACCGTAAAAAATAAGGCAAGAAGATATAGAAATAAAACCGTGCAAGAGAAATGTTCAAGTGGCAAAAAAGGCAGAAAGAAGTCAACCATATACATGTTAAATATAATTAAGATGAAACAGAATTTAAACTTAAATAGAGAGCCACAGTGACGCGTCCTAAAACCCGGAAGTAAGTTGCGTATGCGTTCCTTCGATTTATGATTCGAAATGATAAAAGTAGGGTAGACATGTGGAGATTATCCGACTGAACAAAACGTGATCCGTCTTTTAAATGTGTCTCAACCAACAAACCTTATTTCCAGCTATTTTCCAAAATCCTACGGAGAGATGAACATTGCTTTTTTGTCGAGGGAACCCGGTTATCGCTAGAAAGGATCCGTCTTGTGTAAAACTCGCGAGAGTTTGCAAGTCACGTGGCTGAATGTTTACTTTGGCAGGCAGCCTTTCAGTCACGATCGTTAACTAACATCAGTGGGCCACAGCAGATGATGGTGAGAAGCTGAACTATCTATTAATGATGTCAATGACAGGGAGTGATTGTTGAAATAGGGAGTTAGCGGTCTTGCTGTTCAAAGAAGAATGACAACACTGTAGATCACCGACACTATGGTTTATTTTTTATTCACAGGCAAGTCAACGTTGTCACAGTAAAAGTCCCAAGATAGCTCCTGGTGCAATCAAATGTTCCCTTTCAGTGTTTCACTATGTCTGATGTTTCTCTATTAATATTGCTGCTGCATTCATGTGGATGTTGCACGTTACTGCTGTAGATGTGTTTCCGAGCCGCTCCGATTACAACGAGAGTTACAACAATATTATTTTCAAAACCTGGTTAGTGAGGAATCAGCTCTGCCAACACTGACCCAATCTTCTGCTCCTTCCAATCCACCGCCTGTGTTTTAACATGTTCTTTTGTTTTATTTGTTTTAATGTTCTGTATTTTAAATAGTTTTATTTAAGTATCCCAGTAATGACTGTTGCATGTTTTAAATGTATTGTATTTACTTGTTTAAAATGAAATGTGTTTTAGGTTGACTTTTAAAATCTGTCCAGGGACTACAGATGAAAAATAGCCTCTTGGCTAACTCTGGCACGTTTACAGAAATGTTCATTAATGTGCACTGTTAAATAAATGAATAAATAAATAAATAAATAAACGAGACGTCATATTTACAGAAGACGGATCCTTTCTAGCCATAACCAGGGAACCAGGGAACCAGGGAACCAGGGAACCAGGGAACCAGGGAACCAGGGAACCAGGGAACCAGGGAACCAGGGAACCAGGGAACCAGGGAACCAGGGAACCAGGGAACCAGGGAACCAGGGAACCAGGGAACCAGGGAACCAGGGAACCAGGGAACCAGGGAACCAGGGAACCCATGCGCAGCTTACTTCCGGGTTTTAGGACGCGTCACTGTGGCTCTCTATACTGTCCAGTGGAAGAAAATACTGCATGTTGTAGTTGTATTCAAGCAAGGTAGAGTTGCTCGTGTTATACTCGAAATTCACCAGTATTACATATATGCTACGATTACAGAGGCACACCTTTAAGAAAAGGTAATACGAGGAAACTGGGATTAATGAAGGAAGTATTATTAAGGCCGCATAAAAGAAGGAACTGGTCTGTGTGACACCCCAAAATAATATAATATGGCTTCTTTAAAATGAGGCGAATATGTAGGATGACCTTATATCCATATATACCCATATTCTATTTTTGTTATACCTGTGTTATTTACGTTCTCAGTGTTATTATTGATTTGATTTCAATACGTTTTGTTTTTCATATTCTCATGTTGAATGTCTTGGATTTGAGACCTTCTACATGTTGTGGCCCCTTTTCATCCCACTGCTCTCACGTTCTTTATCTCCCGGATGAAAGCGCATATAGAGTTGAGGATGATTGATGATCCTGTGAGGCGTTACTGACCGTGCAGCCGAGAGCCTTCTCTGCCAGCGGGCTCCTCAGAGAGCAGGCCTGCAGCGTGCCGGTGTGGTCCGTGAAGTCCATCAGCATGTCGAAGCCCGTGGAGCTGGAGAACATCTGATCCCTGCCCGGACACATCAGGTTGCTGCAGCTCACCTCCTCCTCCGTCACCATGAACTTACACCTGGTGCTGAGGGTTAGGAAACAGATGAGCAGAGAGGGCAAAAGTACACACATCCTTTAATCAAGTAGAAGTACAGATACTCACGTTTAAAAATACTCTGGTGAAAGTAGAAGTACTGACTAAACTTCTTTACTCAAGTCAAAGTAAAGAGGGCTTTGAAATGTACTTCAGTAAAAAGTACCCATAACTAGCAGCTGCTTTAAAGAGTACCTGACCTCCCTTTATATTAATAGAACAATAATGTCATTGTTAGCTAATGAATGTTTCCATGCTGAACAACGGCAACATGACAACGTTTCCATTGGTCCCTCTTCTTTAGAGAAGACCAGGAAATGATGGATACACGGATCGTGTTCAAATCAATAGGCATTAGGCACGCAATGACTCTAAAGAATAATGATCACGCATCAAACACACATTCAAACTAAAGGAACCAGCTGTTTGGAAAATGAGAGAAGTAGAAAGTACAGGTATTTGAGTTCAACATGTAAGAAGTAGAAAGTACAGGTATTTGAGTTCAACATGTAAGAAGTAGAAAGTACAGGTATTTGTGTTCAACATGTAAGAAGTAGAAAGTACAGGTATTTGAGTTCAACATGTAAGGAGTAGAAAGTACAGGTATTTGAGTTCAACATGTAAGAAGTAGAAAGTACAGGTATTTGAGTTCAACATGTAAGAAGTAGAAAGTACAGGTATTTGAGTTCAACATGTAAGAAGTAGAAAGTACAGGTATTTGAGTTCAACATGTAAGAAGTAGAAAGTACAGGTATTTGAGTTCAACATGTAAGAAGTAGAAAGTACAGGTATTTGAGTTCAACATGTGAGAAGTAGAAAGTACAGGTATTTGAGTTCAACATGTAAGAAGTAGAAAGTACAGGTATTTGAGTTCAACATGTAAGAAGTAGAAAGTACAGGTATTTGGGTTCAACATGTAAGAAGTAGAAAGTACAGGTATTTGAGTTCAACATGTAAGAAGTAGAAAGTACAGGTATTTGAGTTCAACATGTGAGAAGTAGAAAGTACAGGTATTTGAGTTCAACATGTAAGAAGTAGAAAGTACAGGTATTTGAGTTCAACATGTAAGAAGTAGAAAGTACAGGTATTTGAGTTCAACATGTAAGAAGTAGAAAGTACAGGTATTTGAGTTCAACATGTGAGAAGTAGAAAGTACAGGTATTTGAGTTCAACATGTGAGAAGTAGAAAGTACAGGTAATTGAGTTCAACATGTAAGAAGTAGAAAGTACAGGTATTTGAGTTCAACATGTAAGAAGTAGAAAGTACAGGTATTTGAGTTCAACATGTAAGAAGTAGAAAGTACAGGTATTTGAGTTCAACATGTGAGAAGTAGAAAGTACAGGTAATTGAGTTCAACATGTAAGAAGTAGAAAGTACAGGTATTTGTGTTCAACATGAGAGAAGTAGAAAGTACAGGTACTTGAGTTCAACATGTAAGAAGTAGAAAGTACAGGTATTTGAGTTCAACATGTGAGAAGTAGAAAGTACAGGTATTTGTGTTCAACATGTGAGAAGTAGAAAGTACAGGTATTTGAGTTCAACATGTAAGAAGTAGAAAGTACAGGTATTTGTGTTCAACATGTAAGAAGTAGAAAGTACAGGTATTTGAGTTCAACATGTGAGAAGTAGAAAGTACAGGTATTTGTGTTCAACATGTGAGAAGTAGAAAGTACAGGTATTTGAGTTCAACATGTAAGAAGTAGAAAGTACAGGTATTGTGTTCAACATGTGAGAAGTAGAAAGTACAGGTATTTGAGTTCAACATGTAAGAAGTAGAAAGTACAGGTATTTGAGTTCAACATGTGAGAAGTAGAAAGTACAGGTATTTGTGTTCAACATGTGAGAAGTAGAAAGTACAGGTATTTGAGTTCAACATGTAAGAAGTAGAAAGTACAGGTATTTGTGTTCAACATGTAAGAAGTAGAAAGTACAGGTATTTGAGTTCAACATGTAAGAAGTAGAAAGTACAGGTATTTGTGTTCAACATGTGAGAAGTAGAAAGTACAGGTATTTGAGTTCAACATGTAAGAAGTAGAAAGTACAGGTATTTGTGTTCAACATGTAAGAAGTAGAAAGTACAGGTATTTGAGTTCAACATGTAAGAAGTAGAAAGTACAGGTATTTGTGTTCAACATGTGAGAAGTAGAAAGTACAGGTATTTGAGTTCAACATGTAAGAAGTAGAAAGTACAGGTATTTGAGTTCAACATGTGAGAAGTAGAAAGTACAGGTATTTGAGTTCAACATGTAAGAAGTAGAAAGTACAGGTATTTGAGTTCAACATGTAAGAAGTAGAAAGTACAGGTATTTGGGTTCAACATGTGAGAAGTAGAAAGTACAGGTATTTGAGTTCAACATGTGAGAAGTAGAAAGTACAGGTATTTGAGTTCAACATGTAAGAAGTAGAAAGTACAGGTATTTGAGTTCAACATGTAAGAAGTAGAAAGTACAGGTATTTGAGTTCAACATGAGAGAAGTAGAAAGTACAGGTATTTGAGTTCAACATGTAAGAAGTAGAAAGTACAGGTATTTGAGTTCAACATGTAAGAAGTAGAAAGTACAGGTATTTGTGTTCAACATGTAAGAAGTAGAAAGTACAGGTATTTGGGTTCAACATGTAAGAAGTAGAAAGTACAGGTATTTGAGTTCAACATGAGAGAAGTAGAAAGTACAGGTATTTGAGTTCAACATGTAAGAAGTAGAAAGTACAGGTATTTGAGTTCAACATGTAAGAAGTAGAAAGTTCAGGTATTTGTGTTCAATATGTAAGAAGTAGAAAGTACAGGTATTTGTGTTCAACATGTGAGAAGTAGAAAGTACAGGTATTTGGGTTCAACATGTAAGAAGTAGAAAGTACAGGTATTTGAGTTCAACATGTAAGAAGTAGAAAGTACAGGTATTTGGGTTCAACATGTAAGAAGTAGAAAGTACAGGTATTTGTGTTCAACATGTAAGAAGTAGAAAGTACAGGTATTTGAGTTCAACATGTAAGAAGTAGAAATTACAGGTATTTGAGTTCAACATGTAAGAAGTAGAAAGTACAGGTATTTGGGTTCAACATGTAAGAAGTAGAAAGTACAGGTATTTGGGTTCAACATGTAAGAAGTAGAAAGTACAGGTATTTGAGTTCAACATGTAAGAAGTAGAAATTACAGGTATTTGTGTTCAACATGTAAGAAGTAGAAAGTACAGGTATTTGAGTTCAACATGTAAGAAGTAGAAAGTACAGGTATTTGAGTTCAACATGTAAGAAGTAGAAAGTACAGGTATTTGTGTTCAACATGTAAGAAGTAGAAAGTACAGGTATTTGAGTTCAACATGTAAGAAGTAGAAAGTACAGGTATTTGAGTTCAACATGTAAGAAGTAGAAAGTACAGGTATTTGTGTTCAACATGTAAGAAGTAGAAAGTACAGGTATTTGAGTTCAACATGAGAGAAGTAGAAAGTACAGGTATTTGAGTTCAACATGTAAGAAGTAGAAAGTACAGGTATTTGAGTTCAACATGTAAGAAGTAGAAAGTACAGGTATTTGAGTTCAACATGTAAGAAGTAGAAAGTACAGGTATTTGAGTTCAACATGTAAGAAGTAGAAAGTACAGGTATTTGTGTTCAACATGTAAGAAGTAGAAAGTACAGGTATTTGTGTTCAACATGTAAGAAGTAGAAAGTACAGGTATTTGTGTTCAACATGTAAGAAGTAGAAAGTACAGGTATTTGTGTTCAACATGTAAGAAGTAGAAAGTACAGGTATTTGGGTTCAACATGTGAGAAGTAGAAAGTACAGGTATTTGAGTTCAACATGTAAGAAGTAGAAAGTACAGGTATTTGTGTTCAACATGTAAGAAGTAGAAAGTACAGGTATTTGGGTTCAACATGTAAGAAGTAGAAAGTACAGGTATTTGAGTTCAACATGTAAGAAGTAGAAAGTACAGGTATTTGGGTTCAACATGTAAGAAGTAGAAAGTACAGGTATTTGAGTTCAACATGTGAGAAGTAGAAAGTACAGGTATTTGGGTTCAACATGTAAGAAGTAGAAAGTACAGGTATTTGGGTTCAACATGTAAGAAATAGAAAGTACAGGTATTTGTGTTCAACATGTAAGAAATAGAAAGTACAGGTATTTGTGTTCAACATGTAAGAAGTAGAAAGTACAGGTATTTGAGTTCAACATGTAAGAAGTAGAAAGTACAGGTATTTGTGTTCAACATGTAAGAAATAGAAAGTACAGGTATTTGTGTTCAACATGTAAGAAGTAGAAAGTACAGGTATTTGTGTTCAACATGTAAGAAGTAGAAAGTACAGGTATTTGAGTTCAACATGTAAGAAGTAGAAAGTACAGGTATTTGAGTTCAACATGTAAGAAGTAGAAAGTACAGGTATTTGTGTTCAACATGTAAGAAGTAGAAAGTACAGGTATTTGAGTTCAACATGTAAGAAGTAGAAAGTACAGGTATTTGAGTTCAACATGTAAGAAGTAGAAAGTACAGGTATTTGAGTTCAACATGTAAGAAGTAGAAAGTACAGGTATTTGAGTTCAACATGTAAGAAGTAGAAAGTACAGGTATTTGAGTTCAACATGTAAGAAGTAGAAAGCACAGGTATTTGTGTTCAACATGTAAGAAGTAGAAAGTACAGGTATTTGTGTTCAACATGTAAGAAGTAGAAAGTACAGGTATTTGTGTTCAACATGTAAGAAGTAGAAAGTACAGGTATTTGGGTTCAACATGTGAGAAGTAGAAAGTACAGGTATTTGAGTTCAACATGTAAGAAGTAGAAAGTACAGGTATTTGTGTTCAACATGTAAGAAGTAGAAAGTACAGGTATTTGGGTTCAACATGTAAGAAGTAGAAAGTACAGGTATTTGGGTTCAACATGTAAGAAGTAGAAAGTACAGGTATTTGAGTTCAACATGTAAGAAGTAGAAAGTACAGGTATTTGGGTTCAACATGTAAGAAGTAGAAAGTACAGGTATTTGAGTTCAACATGTGAGAAGTAGAAAGTACAGGTATTTGTGTTCAACATGTAAGAAGTAGAAAGTACAGGTATTTGAGTTCAACATGTAAGAAGTAGAAAGTACAGGTATTTGAGTTCAACATGTAAGAAGTAGAAAGTACAGGTATTTGTGTTCAACATGTAAGAAGTAGAAAGTACAGGTATTTGAGTTCAACATGTAAGAAGTAGAAAGTACAGGTATTTGAGTTCAACATGTAAGAAGTAGAAAGTACAGGTATTTGGGTTCAACATGTAAGAAGTAGAAAGTACAGGTATTTGAGTTCAACATGTAAGAAGTAGAAAGTACAGGTATTTGGGTTCAACATGTAAGAAATAGAAAGTACAGGTATTTGTGTTCAACATGTAAGAAATAGAAAGTACAGGTATTTGTGTTCAACATGTAAGAAGTAGAAAGTACAGGTATTTGAGTTCAACATGTAAGAAGTAGAAAGTACAGGTATTTGTGTTCAACATGTAAGAAATAGAAAGTACAGGTATTTGTGTTCAACATGTAAGAAGTAGAAAGTACAGGTATTTGTGTTCAACATGTAAGAAGTAGAAAGTACAGGTATTTGAGTTCAACATGTAAGAAGTAGAAAGTACAGGTATTTGAGTTCAACATGTAAGAAGTAGAAAGTACAGGTATTTGTGTTCAACATGTAAGAAGTAGAAAGTACAGGTATTTGAGTTCAACATGTAAGAAGTAGAAAGTACAGGTATTTGAGTTCAACATGTAAGAAGTAGAAAGTACAGGTATTTGAGTTCAACATGTAAGAAGTAGAAAGTACAGGTATTTGAGTTCAACATGTAAGAAGTAGAAAGTACAGGTATTTGAGTTCAACATGTAAGAAGTAGAAAGCACAGGTATTTGTGTTCAACATGTAAGAAGTAGAAAGTACAGGTATTTGTGTTCAACATGTAAGAAGTAGAAAGTACAGGTATTTGTGTTCAACATGTAAGAAGTAGAAAGTACAGGTATTTGAGTTCAATATGTGAGAAGTAGAAAGTACAGGTATTTGAGTTCAATATGTGAGAAGTAGAAAGTACAGGTATTTGGGGTTCAACATGTGAGAAGTAGAAAGTACAGGTATTTGAGTTCAACATGTAAGAAGTAGAAAGTACAGGTATTTGTGTTCAACATGTAAGAAGTAGAAAGTACAGGTATTTGGGTTCAACATGTAAGAAGTAGAAAGTACAGGTATTTGGGTTCAACATGTAAGAAGTAGAAAGTACAGGTATTTGGGTTCAACATGTAAGAAGTAGAAAGTACAGGTATTTGAGTTCAACATGTGAGAAGTAGAAAGTACAGGTATTTGTGTTCAACATGTAAGAAGTAGAAAGTACAGGTATTTGAGTTCAACATGTAAGAGTAGAAAGTACAGGTATTTGGGTTCAACATGTAAGAAGTAGAAAGTACAGGTATTTGGGTTCAACATGTAAGAAGTAGAAAGTACAGGTATTTGGGTTCAACATGTAAGAAGTAGAAAGTACAGGTATTTGAGTTCAACATGTGAGAAGTAGAAAGTACAGGTATTTGTGTTCAACATGTAAGAAGTAGAAAGTACAGGTATTTGAGTTCAACATGTAAGAAGTAGAAAGTACAGGTATTTGAGTTCAACATGTAAGAAGTAGAAAGTACAGGTATTTGGGTTCAACATGTAAGAAGTAGAAAGTACAGGTATTTGAGTTCAACATGTGAGAAGTAGAAAGTACAGGTATTTGTGTTCAACATGTAAGAAGTAGAAAGTACAGGTATTTGAGTTCAACATGTAAGAAGTAGAAAGTACAGGTATTTGTGTTCAACATGTAAGAAGTAGAAAGTACAGGTATTTGAGTTCAACATGTAAGAAGTAGAAAGTACAGGTATTTGTGTTCAACATGTAAGAAGTAGAAAGTACAGGTATTTGAGTTCAACATGTAAGAAGTAGAAAGTACAGGTATTTGAGTTCAACATGTAAGAAGTAGAAAGTACAGGTATTTGGGTTCAACATGTAAGAAGTAGAAAGTACAGGTATTTGAGTTCAACATGTAAGAAGTAGAAAGTACAGGTATTTGAGTTCAACATGTAAGAAGTAGAAAGTACAGGTACTTCAGTTCAACATGTAAGAAGTAGAAAGTACAGGTATTTGAGTTCAACATGTAAGAAGTAGAAAGTACAGGTATTTGAGTTCAACATGTAAGAAGTAGAAAGTACAGGTATTTGGGTTCAACATGTAAGAAGTAGAAAGTACAGGTATTTGAGTTCAACATGTAAGAAGTAGAAAGTACAGGTATTTGAGTTCAACATGTAAGAAGTAGAAAGTACAGGTATTTGAGTTCAACATGTAAGAAGTAGAAAGTACAGGTACTTCAGTTCAACATGTAAGAAGTAGAAAGTACAGGTATTTGAGTTCAACATGTAAGAAGTAGAAAGTACAGGTATTTGAGTTCAACATATAAGAAGTAGAAAGTACAGGTATTTGAGTTCAACATGAGAGAAGTAGAAAGTACAGGTATTTGAGTTTAACATGTAAGAAGTAGAAAGTACAGGTATTTGAGTTCAACATGTAAGAAGTAGAAAGTACAGGTATTTGAGTTCAACATGTAAGAAGTAGAAAGTACAGGTATTTGTGTTCAACATGTAAGAAGTAGAAAGTACAGGTATTTGTGTTCAACATGTAAGAAGTAGAAAGTACAGGTATTTGTGTTCAACATGTAAGAAGTAAAAGTAAAAGTCGTCAGAAAAACAAGTAGTGTAGTAAAGTACTGATACCAGAAACATGTACTTAAGTACAGTAACGAAGTATTTGTACTCCACTACTTCCCACCTCTGCAGATGATGAAAGAATTGAGGGGAAACAGTTAATACAGCAGCTGTTTAATAACAAATGCACTTTATGGATTTACCAGCGAGTCTTGATGAGTTTAGAAACAGAAGAGTTCAGGTCGAGTTTGGAGATGAAGCTGTATGTGATCCCGAAGAACATTTCAGAAATCTCCTGGGCCTTCTGCTTCAGCTGGCTCACGGTGTACACGTCAGTGATGGACTCCACTGCACACACAGAGGTCTTTTGTTAATAGGTTGCTGACAGACAGTATATCTTATTCTTATAGATAACTCATTCCATACAAATAGTGCGTTCATACTCAAGTTGAAGTGCTTTCAGAACAAGCTTAAAAAAAAAACTTCTCTGAAGATTAATCTTTTTAAATTGACTCTAAAGTGTTAGTATTTCCCTAAAGAGAGACTGATGGGCATTGTAGATGCAGTTTGACAGGGACTACTTTCAGCCCGATATTTGGTGTATTTTTTACAGCACAAAGATGATTATTATGTGGGAGTGCTTATTTTTTTAATATATATTTGGACAATGATCTAGGTCTAAGGCAGGCTATACAGGCAGTACTTGTAAGTAGGATCAATTCATTGTGAATTTTGTTTCCTTACATTTTGCTGTCAGAATATCACAAGGAACATTTTGATTTTAGCCATTTAGCGCAAATGGGGCGAAGCCTGCGAGCTAGTTCAGGCAGTCAACTCGAGCACCAATGATACATTAACACGTGAAGCACCTCGTCCCTCTTACAACCAACCACACACATTCTCCTAAACATGCCGCTCTATTTAAGCTGCCAGGTCTTCCTGCCTCTGCCTCGCTAATGCTGCCACTGCTGCGTTCACTTGCTATTGCTACGTTCATGTTCCTGCTGCTGTGTTTCATGTTTCATGTTGCTGCTGCTCGCCTGCCCCCCACCACCCCAGCTTCCACTCCAGCTCCCACCCCCAGCTTCCACTCCAGCTCCCACCCCAGCTCCCACCCCAGTTTCCACCCCAGCTCCATCCCAGCTCCATCCCAGCTCCATCCCAGCTTCCACCCCAGCTCCATCCCAGCTTCTACCCCAGTTTCCACCCCAGTTTCCACCCCAGCTTCCACCCCAGCTCCATCCCAGCTCCACCCCAGCTTCCACCCCAGTTTCCACCCCAGCTCCATCCCAGCTTCCACCCCAGCTCCATCCCAGCTTCCACCCCAGCTCCCACCCCAGTTTCCACCCCAGCTCCATCCCAGCTCCCACCCCAGCTCCATCCCAGCTCCCACCCCCAGTTCCACCCCAGCTCCATCCCAGCTTCCACCCCAGCTTCCACCCCAGCTCCATCCCAGCTTCCACCCCAGTTTCCACCCCAGCTCCACCCCAGCTCCATCCCAGCTTCCACCCCAGCTCCACCCCAGCTCCATCCCAGTTTCCACCCCAGCTCCATCCCAGCTCCACCCCAGCTCCATCCCAGCTTCCACCCCAGCTCCATCCCAGCTTCCACCCCAGCTCCATCCCAGTTTCCACCCCAGCTCCACCCCAGCTCCACCCCAGTTTCCACCCCAGCTCCACCCCAGTTTCCACCCCAGCTTCCACCCCAGCTTCCACCCCAGCTCCATCCCAGCTTCCACCCCAGCTCCACTCCAGCTTCCACCCCAGCTTCCACCCCAGCTCCATCCCAGCTTCCACCCCAGCTTCCACCCCAGTTTCCACCTGTAGGCTCGGGGATAGTTATCTAATCATCACTCAATGTTCTTTGTAAATCTGTGGAGTGATGAGGCCCGAGCCTAGACGCCAAACTATATGCTGCTTATAATAAACATATTAAGAAACACGTGAGTTGTCTGACTGAAATAAGAAAATGTTGCATGTATCAGGGAGTAGGATAACAGTTAGAAGTGCATTGCCAATTAACACTGTGACTTGAAAGGAAATGTAAAAGACAGAAAGTAAATGATAAGATAAGGGATTTAAAACACAAAGAAGGCTTTACACCAACATACAGCCAGACTTCTGCTCATTCTAATACTACAGTAACAGTATGAGAATGAGGGGAGTTCTTCACAGTAACCCACCAGGCACGTCTTCTGGCTTCTCGTCCTGATCCAGAGCTCCAGACTCTGCCACTTCTTTGGCGTAGCTGAACAGCAGACTGGCCTCTCTGGTGTCTGAGAGCAAATTATGATTGACTTACAGTACACAGCAGGATCGCAATGGAAACGGTTGAAAATCTTCTTTCTGATTAATTCCACATTTAAAAGTTATATATCAGATGTTATGTTTTTATAAACTGTTGCTGTAAACTTTAAGCCTCACCAGGGTTCAGAGTGATAATAGTTTTTGCGTTAACCGTTGCTGTCATGCCGCTGCGAAAGCTGTCAAAACCAATCTTTGCATCGGCTATGAAGAGCACTGTGAATGGAGAATAACAGTTAAAACAACAGAAAGCTATTTTAAACATAAACACAGAGTAACATCTCAGATATCTGCCTCCATGTTTCTCTCCACTACAGTATGCTAATGAGACGTGACAGACGGGAACAACAGTTAAATACAGATTCATTTTGTGGCTGGAAGTGAGCAGCAGCTGCTAACCTACCCGTCTCCTTGGGTATCAAAGTTTGCACGAGCTGAATGGCTTCTCTGTCCCAGCTGTGGGTAAAACAGAGGTCAGGGAGTTACTCGGTGGAAATCAAACGCACATGGAGTTCAGCAGGTTAATCTAAAGCTGCATCTCATCAAAGTAACTGTGCGGTTAACCTAAAGATACTCAGCGGTGATGCGAGGGGGCCAAGGAGATGGAACATGGAACGAATGCAACACAAGCTATTCACTTTTCCAAACAGATAAACGACGCACCAGACGAGAGGGAAGGAAGACACGGAGTCATCAAAGAGTTTCACTTCCAGCCTCTGCCCTTTGCGTTGGTCTGAAGTGATGAACTGCTTCATCTCTCCAATCTGAACATGTAAACAGGATCATCAGAAGTTAATTTCACAGCATTTCCTTTCTGTGAACAGGCGCAGTGATATTAAGAGAAGGGTTTGGCCTCTCTCTGAACTTCTTCGAATTATGGTGAATCAATGAGAACACCACAAAGTAACCACACAGACAAAACAGACACAATGTAGTCAATTAGGCAATTTAAAAGATGTATATTTAGTTACATTAGAAAACCCAGGGTATGTGCAGGAATCCTGAAGTCAGATGTAAAACCTTTTAAGACCTTTTTTAAGACCCTTTCCAAACATTTTAAGACCTCATCGCCACTTCGAGTTTTAACCGGTTACCTTGGCGACACACTTCACCTCACATTGACTATATACAGTATTGATTGTCCTTCCTCCTTTTCTTCCAACCATTTGGACGCAGACTTGCATTTTCCCATAACGATGTTGTTTAACAACCGGCGTAAACGGACCTTCGCGCTATCAAGCATTAAAATACGATTAATTGAGCAGCCCTACCTGAAACCATATATATATTTGCTTAGCATTCAGGCTCATTGGATAAAAGGTTCCTGGACTCGCCGATCTAAGGAAGAGGTAACCATACTTTTCCCAGTTTGACTTCAGAACACTTTTTCAAAAACCCTTATCATTATTCTGTTTAAGCTCAGGAAACTTGTACAGCTTGTTTCCACCCGCGCTGCACTTAGAGTGGAGAGAAATACCGCAGAAAAACCAACATCTGATTAGGGATGGGTACCGAGCCCCGGTATTAAACAGGCCCCGAGGCTGAATTATTAAAGACTAGGGGTGTAACGGTATACGTACCCGTACCGAAATGATTCGGGTTCAACGCGTCATAGAGCGACCAAGTCATTTCATTGGACGAGAGGCATACTATGAGAGCTGGTCACAGGGATGCGTTCAAATTTAGTCAGTAATTTGAGGAACTGTCGAAATGGCGAACGCAGATAAAGTTGAGCTCGAAAATCCTCCAGCATCATTGAAGTCTCCGGTTTGGGAACATTTTGGTTTCAAGGATGACGGACAAAGGCAGGTGGACCGAACCAAAGCTGTTTGTCGGCATTGTTCAACTAAAATTGGTTACGCGGCTGGCAATACATCAAACTTGCACACTCATTTGAAAAGGCATCACCCGAACGTGAATATCACCGGTACCAAAAGACTGAAGTGCAAACCCAACTCCCACTAGCATGTAAGCCTCCACCACTCGCAGAGAGTTCAGACCGAGCCAAAGCTATTACAAACGCCAAATATCCTTATGTTGCCATGTCAGCAAAGCGCTACCTGGCTGTATCTGCTACCTCTGTCCCTAGAGAGGGTGTTCTCCACAGCAGGAGACATTGTTAGTGCCAGCAGATCTGCCCTTTCTGCAAGCGATGTGGACAAGTTCATCTTTCTTTAAACAACATGAAAATACAATGACAAGCAAGTCCTAATGTCAAACTGGCTGCTTAGGAACTAGTACAGTTCAGTTCAAATACAGATTATTTCAGTTCATCGAAATGCTGCATCTTAATGTTTATTTTATTATATTGTGTATTTATTTGATTGAATACATTATTCACAGTTTAATAATAATAAAAATATATATATATATTTTATGACAATTGTTTCTGCTGTATCGAAAACGTACCGAACCGAACCGTGACCTAAAAACCGAGGTACGTACGAACCGAAATGTTTGTGAACCGTTACACCCCTATTAAAGACCGTGGTACCGTTAAGCTCCGACATTATCGGTCTTTTTATCGGTACAGGAGACATGTAAAAAATATATGTCATGTGTATTATTGCTACATAAACATTATATCGCAGTCTTAGTGTCGCCAACTCCGTTTCTAACATGCAAAAAGACAAAAAAATGCGTCTATGATGTATTTTTGATCTTTCCAATCCAGACGAGAGATCTCTCTCCCCCGCCTGCGTGCGAGGGGGCGGGGCGGTTTACACACACGCTATGCTACATGCATGCAACACACACACACACACACACACACACACACACACACACACACACACACACACACACACACACACACACACACACACACGGAGGAGATGGCGGAGAGAAAGCGCTCCAAGGTGTGGTTAAACTTTACCCGTCTCAATGCTCGTTGCCTAAAGTGCAATAAGAGTTTAGCATGTAAGGGCGGTAACACGAGCAATTTGTCTAAACATTTAGCAAAAGTGCTCCACATCCAGACGGAGGAATGCGACTGTCTTTCTAGTAGCTCTGTAGCCCCGTCCACGAGTAACGTTTCCACGTCAGGTGTTATGTATGCTAGCAGCAACACACGGAGTTAACTACATTATAGAAACATGGGTTAATGATTAGAGGTAACTGAGTTATTTATTTTGTTAAAGTTTCAGCTATTCTGTTCACAGTTCTGTCATCACATTATTTAATACGATTTGTTAAAACATTGTTGTTTCTTTTGATGTGAAATATTATTTATTTAATTTATTTTGTTTGGTTAATTTACCTTTTTTTTTTTTTTAAAAGAACTGATAATAATACCGTTAAAGGACCGGATTGATAAGCGGTATCGATAAAAGTAGTAGTACCGCTAAAACTTTAACGATACCCATCCCTACATTCTAATGCAATCAATGTGTGAAAATACAGTTTTTCAATTTCTCTCGTTCTCTGTAGGAAAAAACACCTTCCCTAAATCAACGATATCTCAAAAATGTCATCACCTGTTTTAAACATCACAGATTCAACATGCAACACTTATTCAATTGCATATTCAGACACATAGAAAAGACTTCTGGGAAATGTAGGAAACAACATACAAAAGTAAAAGTAGAAGCAGCAGCTTGACAGAAATGTAGGATCATCAAAAAAAGCAAATAACTAATATAGCGAAGCTTGAATGTATTAAAAAGTATATTATTATATCGCTTCTTCAATGCTATTCAATACTGAACGCCTGTGATGTTAAGGCGCCTTACCGATCTCACTGCAGCCAGTATATTTATCACCGTGCCCTCCAGCCTCTGCCCGTTGGCCACGATGTCTCCCAGAGAGTAGAAATCCCCGGGGTCTTTCACTGGGAGGTGGATCAGAGGCAGCAGCCGCTCGATGGCGCCCGTATCGGCACACAGAGACACCTGGGAGTGAACCTCTGTCACCATCAGCCTGTAGAAGCTAACAGAGCAGACACAGGCCTTTGAACACCATCATCACACAGTTACATCATGTTTTACACAGCATTACACTGGGTTGTATATTAACATTATTACCCTCCGGCTGTTAAAAGCTCCAGAGTGACCATGAAGGAATCCTCTATGAAATCTGTATTGAAAAGTGATAATTACCTAGGTGTTGTGGGACAGAATTTGTCCCCTTTCTCCGGGTCTTTGCTGGAAACTAAAGGATTTTCAACAATGACTGGAAAAAATGATGAGAAAAAAGTAATTCACATTAGTTTTATGTTTTTGTATTAGATTTAAAGTTTTTAGGCATTTTTAAAAGTGTCTTATTGCTACATTTTGTATTATATCAAGACGTTTTTGTGTAGCTTGATTTGTATTCTACAAGTAAAGACATATCAAAAGCTGGCACGACTAAATAAAAGAAAAACAAGATATAAGCACTTGTGTTGCATCCCATAAAATACATTTCTATTTGTCAAAATCCTGTCATTTTTAGGAACTCTTCAAGCTTTGGGTCTTTGACAGTGACTTCCTCACCACAGTCTCCAGTGCTGAAGCTGTTGGAGAGCCCGTTGACGTACAAGTCGTTCCCCCATGCCGTGACATTAACGAAGAAGTCAGGCGAGTCCTTGATAGTGAAGCCAAACGTGAATCTGTCCACACCGATATCTGAAATTCGGATAGGTTCAGTTAGTGGAGAAATGGAGAAAAAAAGCTTCCAGAAGAGGGGGCTGGTGTACAACACAATGAGGTGCAGTGATGTTAGGAGAGTGTGACATTGAAATTAACAACTTTATGTAAACTAATATGACAAAAAATGCTAACTTTTTCTGTCAGGGAAGCTTTTGACATCAGATTTCCCAATGACGATGCCTGCCACTTTCTGAAAAATATTTAAAAGACAATGAAAATTACAATATTGGATATTTTAATCAGTGGTCAGTTAACAAAACTAATTCAGAAAAACAGGCCACAAATATTCATAATTTAAGAAAAATGTTCATGGCGTTTACACACTGGTTTTGTTTAAAGGAATATTGTAGAAAAACATAGATATGAAATAGCTGTAGGCCTATATCTAAACTCACCGGATGAGAGAGGTTGGGATGCAGCTCAGAGATGGCAATGAACGTCTGAGCAGCCATTTTATCAAATCATCACTTAAATCCAGTCCAGTTTTTAATACATTTACAGTCACTGTAATGAGGTAAAACAAATAAAACAATACAAGGTGAAAGTTGTGGTTTAATTCAAACTAGAACAAAGTTATTAAAGCATTTCTCAATTTCTAACATGGCTTTATTCTGACTATTAAAACAAACAGACAGCAGTTACTTGCTACGTTTGGTTAAGTAGTTAGCTAGCAAGGCTAGTAAAGTTAGCATTAACATAGTGACTTGTTCACTCTTATCACACCTCTAAATTACCTGAGGGTTTTAACTATGTCTGAATTTAATATTTAGAATATGTTTAGCTTAGTTTCAGTTATACCAAAGACCTTTTTTCTTTTTTAATTCGTCTTTTCTCTTTGACTTTACCTGCTTTGTTTTCCCAGACGGTTATTTGTGTATCGCGGCAAAACTGTTGCACGGCACGCGACGGAATCTGCTGATGCTGCGTTCAAATGCAGTCGGTAAAAAAATCGTAATTTCACGTTGTGTTCATCTAGGAAAAATGTACTGTTCAGTTGTTTTTTTCACTGTTTGTACATATTGGCTGTTTATGTTTATTTTGTATCTAATTGTATCTTCAATTAATCTGCAATTGTTTATGTGCTGCTGTGACAATTAGTTTTCTCCCAAATTGGGATTAATACAAGTATATTTGATCTCCTCTTAACCAAAAATCATCATCAATCTTTTATTAGGAGCTAGTAAATGTTGCAAAAAGTCTGAAATTAACACTTCATAACAAAAGATGAAGTCATTTCCATCTCCACTTTATTACCATTAATTACTATTATTTACTGATTAACCACCTACTACTGTATAAAGTTTATGCAATCTCTTTTGTGATGACAAGAGACCTGCATTCTTCCAATGTTTTGTTAGACGTTAGGTGATGTTGCCTAGGATCAAATCCACAATTTCAACACACATTCAGTACAGTAAACATTATGAACAGCTGCGCAAACATGCAGGAAATGAGATTGAACAATACAACTGCCATCACTGATAGACCAATTGATTGGAAGCTGTCACTTACACACATTCACATCACAGAGACACACATCACATATGTGAGTCATCTCTTTAAAAGTCTCTTCTTTGATAGGTTTCATTGCACCTAAGACTAAGATATCATGCACCTTTATAATCCATCCCTGTCACCATCCACAGCATGGGATTTATTCTCAGACGGATTTGCTGAGCTGAATTTGACAGTTTCCTGTTTGTTTTGATGACACAAAGCTGTGTTTGACATGTGATACTGTCTCACACACCGAAGCAGGAATCAAAAGGTGTAACAGTAAACCCTTAATTAGCTTCGCTTAGCCTTGTTCCTCTTCCCTGGTGACTAATCCCTGTGGTTTGGATATCTCATCCCTGTGACTAATGTTGTTTTTCAGGCAGTAATATGTCTGGTGATATAATTATTCGGTCAATGTGTTTTTAATCGCTGAGAGGAAAAAGTGCAGTAGCAGCTATAAAGGCTTTTTCAGCACAATAACAGAACAGATTAATCCCCAACAGACAGTCTGGTGTGTTACGTTTCATCGATGTATTGACAGACTTTGAATAATGTTGTATAATGTGAACTGATTAAGTATGGTAGCTAGGCAGAGGCATCGATTTGCTATTTGCACCGGTGCATGGCTATTCAAATGATACCAAATTTCAAATTCTAATTTCATTAGGTTTTTCTCATTACAGTTTGTGAGTCCATTAATCACAGCAGCACTGTAAAGCATCATCAGATAAATCAAGTTACTTTTGCTTCAGTGATTCATCCATAATGAATTCATGGCCTCGGTTTATCTGTCATCAATCATGCCTTTTCTTCCGATATTTGGTTGGGTTTTTCCAAATGATTTGAATAAATCGTTTGAATTTCTTTATGATAAGCAGACATCAGCATTGCTTGTCGCTTCTGATGGTGTGACTTTATTCAGGGCCTATACAGGAAGTAACTGCGCGGCTTCAAACATAGGCACTGCAGGAATCTGTTGTGATTGGATGGCCTTTTTTATGGTGCAGGTCGGCTCCCTGGAGGGCCTGCAGCTGTCTGACCACTGCCCGGCTATTAATCTATCATTTGAGCGTGTGTGTGTGTGTGTGTGTGTGTGTGTGTGTGTGTGTGTGTGTGTGTGTGTGTGTGTTCTGCCCTTATGCATACCAGTGCATACAGTGTGTAGATCTACCATGTTCATTAACACATGTATTATAAACACAGTGCTGTTTTTTCAGTCTCAACCGTAAATGAGGCTAGTATAATGACTGCAATCAGAACTGACTTTTTGCAGGTGTAACGCTCAAATACCAGGTAATTAAAGTGTACAATAACACACCTTGTTAAGCTGACTGTGTTAAGCAATATGCAACTTGTCCATCTTGACTAAACTAAGCCGTTTACTGGGCTGTTCTTCTTTGGGAATTCATTATGTTGCCACTGATACATCAATTAATGTCTTGTTATACATTTGCTGCTTCTTAAGAAAACTGCAATTCAGCACAATACACATTGGGAATAATAACACAAACTTCATCTGGACTATAGGGGCTCATGCCAGACATTGAAACGCAACATTCGTAAAAATGTTCATTAAGAATGTGACCATTGCAATTGCTTGAAGAAACCCTGTTATGCTTTTTGGGGTTCTCCCTTTCTCGCAGTGTGTGGTTTTGGTAAACATATGTCACAGTAGAGGCACAAAATACAACATACAATAATGAAACCTTAAAAAAATGGCATAATAGGGCCCCTTTAAGCTCTCTTTTTACATGTGCTATATGCTAATTATGATTTTTCCATAATAGTAATTTAGCACACAATGCACTGATATACAGTATATTAAACTATACCATGTCATACCGGAACAGTTCAATTAGCCCCACCTCAACATTTAAAGCTGTTTTCATATGCATGTATCAGTAGTAAAACCCTTCCCTATAATCTAATAATATAAAAAAGTTCATAAAATACTGACCGAAGCCATCCTGTATCATCCTTCTAAGACTTTAAGAGAACTATGCTCATGGTACCTATATTATTTTACTTTTTAATGCATCAATTTGACTCATACAGGAGTATTTTTACATTGTGGTCTTACTAGTAAAAAAGATGAATACTTCCTCCACTGCTGTTCATATTTAGCGAAGGTCCACCGGACCTCCATGAGGGCACCAGACAGGATATCTGTGGTTCAGCTGCACTTCCCTGTGTAAAACAAGAGAGGAGAAGAGGAAGCAGAAATGTTGGCGACTGCTCAGATGCATGGCAACAGAGGGCTGACAGCTAGATATTTCCGCCAAATTTACTTTCTGTCTGTTCCTTCTTTGTCTAAAAAAACTACGCCAGAGAGACTCATGTTTTGATCTAAAATGATCATTTCTGATCCGGAACTGGTGTTTACAGTATATCCACATGTGATGTCTCAAATAAACTCAAACAGGAAGTGGGTATTTAGTCGTAGTATTTCGCTTGGTGAACCAAAGGGATTCAGTTTGCACACACACATAGACAAAAGAGCTATTGTTGATAATGAAACACGTTTTTTTTTAAATGGTACCAATCATCATTATTTGATTGAAACCCAACCATTAAAACAAATCATTCTGAACGGTGAGCAATATCTTGGCACGGTCTACATCCAAGTATAGCTTTAACAGTGGTTGGCAGCAGTTTGGCAGTGTTTTTTGGCTTCCAGAAGTGGAAGACGTCCAAGTATGTACACTGTAATTTCCCTGCCACCTGTGTGACTAACTGCACTGTAAAGCTGTCGCACCGCGGAGTCTGCACACAGCCATTGAATCCAGCTGGGCTCCGGTCGAACAATGCCGTCGGTTTTCTCATCTCCGTGTCCAGAAAGAGGAGGGTGGGTGCATGACTGTGGAGGGAAACCTTAAATGATGTTAATAACGTGCTGTTGAAAAGCTGCACCAGGACAGAAATCAGTGGCATGCATGATGTCAGCTCCCATTATTACTGTATGCCACCATATTGAGGTAATGGGAGGAATACTGAGTCCAAGTTGTTGCCATGATTCTCTGTAAGAGAGGCAGGAAACATTACATTACATGACATAAAATTAAACGAGGGGAAAGTGACGTTTCTGTTGCAAAACATGACTAAAATGAAACAACTCTTTTCAGTTTGTTTCACAGTGAACATTCCCACGCTGTTACTGAATGTAAAAAGGAATTGTGTTTTAGTGCAGTTTGTGGTTTAAGTGCTTTTATTTCATTGTCTACACAAAACAGGTACCACCACTTACACGCCCTACTGAGGCATGATTTTTATCTTCCTGTTGTCTGGCTTGTACAGTTTTGGACTTAATCCAAATGTGTGGTGTCTTTGTATTGGTAAGAATGAAAGGGGAGCTGGATGGAGGAGCTGCTCAGCTGGGAATCAATCAATTGTAGATGTGTTGAAAAAGCTCCAGAAAGACAGTATTATTGCTATTTGATGTAAGTGTAATGGGCAAATTATTTAATAGCTGTCAAAATATTTACTCTGGACAAAATTGATTGACTGTGGATCTTTTTTTTTTCAAATCTATGTTGTTTTTAATATATTTTACTTTCTACATGTACACGCAAACCAATCAGCTTCCAATGTTATTATGTTCTGATCTGAATATGGAACATACGACGGAGTATTAGGGCCACACAAAAAACAGAGAGATTTCGAGAATAAAGTTGTAATAATACGAGAATAAAGTCAGTTACGAGAATAAAGTCGTAACATTACGAGAATAAAGTCATAATTACGAGAATAAAGTCTTAATATTACGAGAATAAAGTCGTAATGTTACGAGAATAAAGTAATAATTACGAGATTAAAGTCGTAGTTTCATAAAGTCGTAGTTTCATAAAGTCTGCGACTTGAGAAGCGGACATGGAGGAGATTGTCTCCTTTCTGCAGGAGGAAATGGGTGGTTCTGGCCGACTACATTACATTACATTGCATTTAGCTGACGCTTTTATCCAAAGCGACTTACAATAAGTGCATTCGACCAACAAGATACAAACTTGAAGAAACAGAATCATATAAGTACATCAGGTTTCATAGAGCCAAAACATTTCAAGTGCTACTCAACTGGCTTTAGATAAGCCAGTGCTTTATTAATATATGTGCTTTGTTAGCAATTCTTTGTTAGTAATTCTATCGCTCGAAGTGGAGTCGAAAGAAATGAGTTTTCAGTCTGCGCCGGAAGATGTGTAAGCTTTTTACTGTCCTGATTTCAATGGGGAGCTCATTCCGATTCCACTACAAGGCTATCGTTCGACTCCTTCTGGATCCTAAGCCTTGATTACAAGTCTCATCGTTTCTTGTGAAACAACAAATCCCCTTTGAACAGCTCGTAGATGTAACCAACGATAGCCGTGTTGTCGGCCAGAACCAGCCA